TCTTAATAAACACTAGTAGATCAACTTATTATATTATGTTCACTGCAGCGTAGAACAATGAGCTTCTGCTGTCACTTTTGTTTAGGTGTTCATGTGGGAATTGTCAGCCGATGCGGAGTGAAGGTGGGGTGGAGGTGGTGGACCGCGGGAGGGGGGCGGGTGCGAAGCATTTTCTGCTACGTCAAACGTGTCATAGGTGTATCTGCCGCATCATCGTTGTAGCAGCTTTAGTTCGTTGTCACGTGGGAGGGTGGTAGAAATACGCTGCAATTTGTTTAAAAAAAAAAAAACTGCCAAATCAATCTAAAAACCACTTCAGTGACAAATACAAGGCCCACACATCACTCTTAGAAGGTAGAAAACTCTGAAAAGTTGATTTTGCATGAGATGGGCCCTTAAACGTAGCATACACCACCACTCAAAAGTTTTAGAACACCACACTTTTTCCATTTTTTTTTACTGTTTACCTGTTGACCAAAACATATTCTAAACTTTTGATTGATGTGTGTGTCCACCTTTGGCAGATAGAACAGCTGAACACACTCGTGGCTCGTTCTTTTTACAATAGAAATCAAATATTGTTCAGAAAGTTCTTCCCAAGTCTGTTGCAGAAGTTTCATAAATGTGTGGCACTTGTAGGTTGCTTCACTCTTCTGTCCAGTTCATCCCAAACCAGCTCCATGGGGTTTAAGTCTGGACACTGTGCTGCTGCTGGACACTCCAGGTTTTCAAGTTTTACCATCTTGTTCTTTTTTTCTGAGGTCGTTTTGTCAGAGCTTGGACTTGTGTTTTGTATCTATTATCTTTTTTTTAACCTCTGTCTGTTCAGTTCTTACCTTTGTACTAATTCATTGGACTTGCACGACTTGAATTGCAGTAAATAACTAGAAAAATTTGAGTGTTCTAAACTTTTGACCTTTAGTGTATGAACAGTTCTTCAGATAATTACAGCATAAACAACAGAACAAGTTTACCAGAATCTCCATCTCACTCCAAATGACTAAATCCATTCAATTCTTCATCCTCGGTGTCACTTCTGAGCAGCTCGGCATCGACCTCTGGAGGTAAACAGAGCGCCACTTCCTCTTCTGTGTAGCTGTCGTCAGATTCAGCATTAGTTCCAGTTAGAATTATTCCGGCCTTTCTGAATCCTGACAGGATGGTTTCGGTGTCACTTTAATGTTAATTGTTCAGTGTTGCACAAGTAATGGTGCGAGTGTGTGCATACATGTGTCCACACACACATGTATGTAGGGGATACTGTTGTGAACATATATGAGCATGAATATAAAAGATAGATGTGTGTGCATATATGTGCATACATGTATGTATGTATGTATGTATGTATGTGTGTATGTATGTATGTATGTATGTATGTATGTATGTATGTATGCATGCATTGCATGCATGTATGTATGTATGTATGTATGTATGTATGTGTATGTATGTATGTATGTATGTATGTATGTATGTATGTATGTATGTATGTATGTATGTATGATGTATGTATGTATGTATGTATGTATGTATGTATGTATGTATGTATGTATGTATGATGCATGCATGTATGTATGTATGTATGTATGTATGTATGTATGTATGTATGTATGTATGTCATGCATGTATGTATGTGTGTATGTATGTATGCATGTATGTATTTATGTATGTGTGTATGTATGCATGTATTTATGTATTTATGTATGTATGTATGAATGTATGTATGCATGTATTTATGTATGTATGTATGTATGTATGTATGTATGTATGTATGTATGTATGTATGTATGTATGTATGTATGTATGTATGTATGTATATGTATGTATGTATGTATGTATGCATGTATGTATGTATGTATGTATGTATGTATGTATGTATGTATGTATGTGTATGTATGTATGTATGTATGTATGTATGTATGTATGTATGTATGTATGTATGTATGTATGTATGTATGTATGTATGTATGTATGTGTATGTATGTATGTATGTATGTATGTATGTATGTATGTATGTATGTATGTATGTATGTATGTATGTATGTATGTATGTATGTATGTATGTATGTATGTATGTATGTATGTATGTATGTATGTATGTATGTATGTATGTATGTATGTATGTATGTATGTATAACTAAGTGGACATCTGAACATCTAATGAAATGAAATGAATACATATATATTAACAAAAAAGACACAATCAAAAATAAATAATAATAATTTGTGTTTTAATCAGTCTTATAGGCTGAAATAGTTTTTTCTTTTTTTTCAAGTTCTGCCAAGTTCTTATGTGTCCCAGGTCCTAGGCAGAAGTGGGGCTTACTCAGAAAAAACTAATAGATAAATAAATAAATAAATAAACTCCATACAGCTTCACAAGAATCATTTGGATGATTTCAGACTTGGAGGTGCCAATCTCTACTGAACTAAAGGTAAAAGGAGCTGTCAATTTGAAAAGTATCACTTCATGACATCACAAGGTGGAACAGAGCATTTGGAGCTTTGGCGATGTAGACAGATTAATAATGCAGGATTAGTCAAACGTGTGTGAATGAAACAAAACACAACTCCAGGCAGCAACATTCTCCTGTGGTGTAGATCTCACCAGAGTCCATAGAGCATAATACAAGACTTTTACATTTAGAAAAGCAGGTGCCAAGTTGCGGGTCAGATCTGTGGAGGGGCACAGTAAAAATTGATGTTTTTTACTGTTTATTTATAGATTTTTTTGGTAACCATGGAGATAAGCATATAGAAAACCAAGAAAAGTGACACAGTGCACTTTTACATAAACTGAAGTGAATGAAAAGACACAGAGCTACAGGTGGTGTTGACTGCTCACACACACACACACACACACACACACACACACACACGTGTGCTCTGCATCTCCATCACAGCTGCTCTGAAGAAGACCACCCCCCCTCCTCGTCCTCGTCCTCGTCCTCTCTCAGAGTGTGTAACGTGTGTGTGTTTGATGCTCTGCCTAACACAGATGTGCTCCACAGGTGACACAGTGGACACTGTGGGCTGCTGCATTATTTATACAAAACAAGACGTGTGCCCTTTAATGCCCTCTGTTTAAGAAACTAATCATCCACAAAACAAAGTTTAACCATGTGGTTACTGCTTTCTCCAGAATGTTCCGCAGTGTAGGATTACCTCCAGAGATACACAAACACACCATTAGCAGATAGATCAGGCAGATATTTGCACATTTTAACATTGCAGCTATCGGCCATAAATCATCTAAATATGTGATATTTGGTCTTGGCTGAGCTGATACATAAACAGTACTGTTCACATACATCTGTGTTTGAAGTACAGGTGGGACTTGCAAGTCGTGACTTGGACTTGATTTAGACTTGACTCACTATTTTTTAGGACTTGAGACTTGACTTGATAAAATGGACTAAGATTTGGGACTTGACATGGACTTGAGAAAAATGTATGCTTTTCCTAAAAAAATTATGTAACTGAAGTACTGTGAGATGGTATCCTCAAATGTACTACAGTAATATACAGTACAATGCAGTACAATACAGTATGATACAGTAATATACAGTACAAAGCAGTAGAATAGAGAGGGAACTGCATAGAACATGATCCTTCATGACAAAATAACTGTTATTTAACACTTTTAAATCTGAATTCTTTCTATTCTGACTGTAATGATTCACAGTAAGATCTTGTCAAGACATTTAAAAAGGAAAAAAATTACATTTCTACACCTCTTATATAAATACTCACATATAAATATACCACGACTTTTTAAAATTTAAAATTCATATAAATTACAAAAATCTACGCTATATTTGGTACTTTTGTTTTAAAACTTCAAATAACTTGAAGCTCAAAGCAGACGACTTGGACTTGCCTGTATTTGACTTGGGACTTGACTCGGACTTGAGGTCAAAGCAAAACAACGACTTGGTTCCACGTCTGGTTTGTGGAAAGAGAACTGCACAAAACATGACTGCACAGCTCGGTTAAAGGTTTGTGGATAAAAAGAGCTGCGAGTGAGTGTGTAGTAAATTGAAATGACAGAATTTGGGGGAAATGGTCAAAATCAGCCCTACATAATCAGCCCAAAAATATCACCAGGGTTTATCGACCACTGGTGTTTCTGAATTCGGCACCGGCCATGTAAAATTGATTGTATCCTCTCCTTCTCTTTTCCTCCTCTACCTACTCCTCACCTCTCCTCCTCTTCCTCCTCCTCTTCCTCTGTCCGCTCCATTTAACCTCTGTAAATAATTCAGCATGTTGATCCGAGCCCAAAGACACAGGGAGCCAAACGGTGTCCAGGTTTAAGTGTGTCTCTCATGACAGGAGGAAGAGCAGAGAGCACACCACACACCCTCTCACACCTCTGCACCGGCTCCCTGGAACCTTTACTGTTCACTTTAAAGACGGGCTGTCATGCTAAATGGAGTTTGTGGAGCTTTTTATCATCTTATAATGTTGTTTCCTCATCAAAAACATGTGTGAAGAAGTCTTGGATGTCATACAGAACTCAACAGACCACTCACTAGATAGACGGATAGATAGATACATAGATGGATGGATAGATCGATAGATGGATGAATGGATAGATGAATGGGAAGTTTGTCACTGCTGAACTGTATTCTTCATCTTTTCTTTACAGTTAACAGTAAGATTCTGTGCAAGGCTCCGCCCACAAGCCTACATCTCCCACACCACAATTCTCCATGAACATACAAAACATGATACAAGACTTTACACACGACTTCACAAACCTGGTGCGAGGTGCAGTGATGTCATTAGCTGCATGCATACTGACTGTGTCTTAGTGCAGGGAGCAAAGGGAAGGTAGATGCAAAAACAAAAAGTAAAATGTATAAAACATGTTGACACAGTGTGAATATAGTATTTCAGAACAAAAGATAAGATGTTGATGTGCAGGCAGCTCATACCCTGTTATAAAAGTTATAAAAAATAATAATTGTTTTAAAAAGTCTTAATATTTAATCACCTTCTTATTTGTCTGATCCTCTCCAGCCCCATGTCCCATCAGAGCCCTGTTGTCTGCACACTGGCGCCTCCTGCTGTGTCAGGAGCAGAAGAGCAGAGGACACAGAGGTTCTTCTGTGCTTGAAGCACAAAAGAACCTTTTCATGGTGCTGTTCACACAAATGAACCCATTAGGAAATGTGAGTGCTGTGCTAACAGAGCCATGTGTTTGTCCAGCGCTGCTCTGTGGGCTTTAAACCCCACCAGGACAAACATGCACTTTTACCTGTGACTCAACAATCCAGACAATATGTGAGTATTTTTGTGGCTCCAGAAAGATGGATTTAAATAATGGATTAATGAAACAAACGTGAAAGAAGCAAAATACAACTGCAGGTGTGTTTCTGATGACAACAGTGCAACATTTTTTTATTCATTCATTTTTTAAACACGTCTTTCAAGACTCTCAAAGTCCTTCACACAGCATCACAGCATTGTTCATGCACTAAACACTCAGTGGTGCAAACTGTTACTGTAGCCACAGCTGCCCTGGAGCAGTAGTGTTTAGTTAAAGATGTGTTCAGATGTTGTGTGTCCCTCAGTCGTCCTGGTGTGTCCTATCACAAAACACTCATAGTATACAATAGTAACAGTAGTATACAGTAGTATACAGTAGTATACAGTAGTATACAGTAGTATACAGTAGTATACAGTAGTATACAGTAGTATACAGTAGTATACAGTAATATACAGTAGTATACAGTAGTATACAGTAATATACAGTAATATACAGTAGTATACAGTAGTATACAATAGTAAACAGTAGTATACAGTAGTATACAGTAGTATACAGTAATATACAGTAATATACAGTAGTATACAGTAGTATACAATAGTAAACAGTAGTATACAGTAGTATACAGTAGTATACAATAGTAAACAGTAGTATACAGTAGTAAACAGTAATATACAGTAATATACAGTAGTATACAGTAGTATACAATAGTAAACAGTAGTATACAGTAGTATACAGTAGTATACAATAGTAAACAGTAGTATACAATAGTAAACAGTAATATACAGTAATATACAGTAGTATACAGTAGTATACAATAGTAAACAGTAGTATACAGTAGTATATGTACATGGAGGAGTCCTGACATTTACTCTCAAACAAAAACTTTTTGAATTGAACCTCTTTTTAGACTCAGACAAACTTTATAGATCCACAAGAAAAATGACTTGGACACAATGTAATAACGAAGAGCAATGAAATTCAAAAGAGACCAGAAAATATGATCAATTAAAGGAGCAAAAAGCATTATAGTTTTGACATTTACTCATTATACTCTCTGGGGATAAAGGCACCAACCACACAAGCACACAAACACACAACCACACAACCACACAAGCACACAACACACACACACCACACACACACACACACACAAGCACACAACCACACAACCAACACACACCACAACACACACACACACCACACAACTTACACAAGCACACAACCACACAACCACACACACACCACACAACACACAAGCACAACAACCACACAACCACCACACACCACACAACCACACAACAACACAACCACACAACCACACAGTTACACAACCACACAAGCACACAACCACACAACCACACAACACACAACAACACAACCACACACACACACAACACACAAACACACAACCACACACACACACACAACCACACACCACACAACCACACAACCACACACACACACAACACACAACACACACAACCACACAACCACACATTACACAACCACACAACCACACAACCACACAACCACACAACCACACAACCACACACACACAACCACACAACCACACAAACACACAAACACACAAGCACACAACCACACAACCACACAACCACACAAACACACAACACAACCACACAACCACACAGTTACACAACCACACAAGCACACAAGCACACAACCACACAACCACACAACCACACAACCACACAACCACACAACCACACAAACACACAACCACACAACCACACAACCACACACACTTACACAAGCACACAACCACACAACACACACACAACCACACAACACAACACACAACCACACAACCACACAACCACACACTTACACAAGCACACAACCACACAACCACACACCACACACACACACCACACAACCACACAACCACACACTTACACAACCACACAACACACAACCACACAACCACACAACACACAACACACAACACACAACCACACAACACACACAACACACAACAACACAACCACACAAGCACACAACCACACAACCACACAACCACACAACCACACAACCACACAGTTACACAAGCACACAACCACACAACAACACAAGCACACAACCACACAACCACACAACCACACAGTTACACAACCACACAACCACACAGTTACACAAGCACACAACACACACACACAGTTACACAACCACACAACCACACACACACAACACACAGTTACACAACCACACAACCACACAACCACACAGTTACACAAGCACACAACCACACAACACACAACACACAACCACACAACAACACAGTTACACAACCACACAAGCACACAAGCACACAACCACACAGTTACACAACACACACACAAGCACACAACACAAACACACAAACCACACACACACACACACACCACACAAACCACACAGTTACACAACCACACACAACCACAACAACCACACAGTTACACAAGCACACAACCACACAGTTACACAAACACACAACCACACAACCACACAACACACACAGTTACACACACACACACTGTCACCATGTTTAATTCATGAGGTTCCATTAACCTGGGAGGCGACCAGGGACGTGCCGGGAGAGTAACCCAGAAGAGAGCGCACCGTTCTGGGCCTCACACTCTGCCCTTGGCCCTGGGAGGACACCGCAAAGATCCTGTATGCAGACAAGAGCGCTCACTACCACAGGCTGCTCTAAAAATAGCACATCAGAGAGAGCGGAGGAGGACACAGTCACACAGGTGCAGCAGTCTGACTCTCAAAGGGTTAACTCCTCTCTCTGACCTGATTGGTCACTCCCTAAACCCGAGCACCTGCACAAACCATGAGCCAGTGCTAGTGCAGCCTCTGCAGCTCATGAGGGCCTTCTGGAGGTAGTTTTAGTGCACACTTGGTACATTCTCAGCTTTGTGGTCAAAAATGTCTAAAACAGATTGTGTTCTGCTCCAGTGACCTCTGAAATCACACAAGACTGTCCTGATCGCAGCAAATCATCCATCCATCCATCCATTTTCGTCCGCTTATCCGGGGCTGGGTCACGGGGGCAGCAGCCTAAGCAGGGACTCCCAGACTTCCTTCACCCCAGACACGTCCTCCAGCTCCTCCGGGGGGACCCCGAGGCGTTCCCAGGCCAGCCGAGAGACATAGTCCCTCCAGCGTGTCCTGGGTCTTACCCGGGGCCTCCTCCTGGTGGGACATGCCCGGAACACCTCCCGAGGGAGGCGCCCAGGAGGCATCCGGAACAGATGCATGAGCCACCTCAACTGGCTCCTCTTGACGTGGAGGAGCAGCGGCTCTATACTCCGAGCTCCTCCCGTGTGACTGAGCTCCTCACCCTATCTCTAAGGGAGCGCCCAGCCACCCTGTGGAGGAAACTCATTTCAAGCGCTTGTATCCGCGATCTCGTCCTTTCGGTCACTTACCCAGAGCTCATGACCATAGGTGAGAGTAGGAACGAAGACTGACCAGTAAATCGAGAGCTTCGCCTTTCGGCTCAGCTCCCTCTTCACCACAACGGTCCGATACAGCGACCGCATCACTGCCGAAGCTGCACCAATCTGCCTGTCAATCTCACGTTCCGTCCTTCCCTCACTCGTGAACAAGACCCTGAGATACTTGAACTCCTCCACTTGAGGCAAAGACTCTCCACCCACCCGGAGAGGGCAAGCCACCTTTTTCCGGTCGAGAACCATGGCCTCAGACTTAGAAGAGCTGATCTTCATCCCAGCCGCTTCACACTCGGCTGCAAACCGCCCCAGTGCACATTGCAGGTCCTGGTTCAATGAAGCCAACAGGACAACATCATCTGCAAACAGCAGAGATGAAATCCTGTGGTCCCCAAACCGGACACCCTTCAGCCCCTGACTGCGCCTAGAAATTCTGTCCATAAACACAATGAACAGAACCGGTGACAAAGGGCAGCCCTGGTGGAGTCCAACATGCACCGGGAACAGGTCTGACTTACTGCCGGCAATGCGAACACAGCTCCTGCTCCGGTCATACAGGGGACCTTAGACGGACAGCCCTTAGCAAAGGGCCCCGGACCCCATACTCCCAGAGCACCCCCCACAGGACACCACGAGGGACACGGTCGAATGCCTTCTCCAGATCCACAAAACACATGTGGACTGGTTGGGCAAACTCCCATGAACCCTCGAGCACCCGATGGGAGAGTGTAGAGCTGGTCCAGTGTTCCACGGCCAGGACGAAAACCACACTGCTCCTCCTGAATCTGAGGTTCGACTATCAGCCGGATTCTCCTCTCCAGTACCCTGGCATAGACCTTACCGGGGAGGCTGAGGAGTGTGATCCCCCTATAGTTGGAGCACACCCTCCGGTCCCCCTTCTTATACAGAGGGACCACCACCCCGGTTTGCCAGTCCAGAGGTACTGTCCCCGACCACCACGCGACGTTAAAGAGGCGTGTCAGCCAAGACAGCCCCACAACATCCAGAGACTTAAGGTACTCAGGACGGATCTCATCCAACCCCGGAGCCTTGCCACCAAGGAGCTTGCCAACCACCTCAGTGACTTCAGCCAGGGTGATGGATGAGTCCGCCTCCGAGTCCCCAGCCTCGGCCTCCTCCTCGGAAGACGTGACGGTGGGATTGAGGAGATCCTCAAAGTATTCCTTCCACCGCCGGACAACGTCCCCAGTCGAGGTCAGCAGCTCTCCCCCCGCACTGTAAACAGTGTTGGCGAAGAACTGCTTCCCCCTCCTGAGGCGCCGGATGGTTTGCCAGAATCTCCTTGAGGCCGTCCGATAGTCCTTCTCCATGGCCTCCCCGAACTCCTCCCAGCTCCGAGTTTTTGCCTCCGCAACCGCGCGGGCTGCAGCACGCTTGGCCCGCCGGTACC